TATATCCATTGCTTAGTGGGATCAGGGCTATTGTGGTAGGCATAAATGACATACTGGAGAGATTTTTCTTCACTAGACAAGGACTAGGGAGACATTGAGGACTCCTGAACAAGGTAGTGTCATGGTTAGTATTCTTTAGGAAGAATCATCTAATAGTCTTATCCATATAAATGAGAAAGAAAAAATAGAAGACAAGTGAAATCTGATAGGAGACTTTGCAATATGCCAAGTGAAAGGTAATGAGAAGGTGTACTAAAAGGGAAGTGCGAGGATAGAAAAGAGAAAATGGCAACGTATTTGTAAAGCAAAATGAATGGACTCATTGTGGAAGGCAAAGGAAAAGAGTTGATGATTTGATGTTTGAGGTCTCAGGAAATGAAGGAATGGAAGTCCCTTAACAGAAGTATTCAAATACTTCAGGGTAGTAATAATTACCTTAATTTTACATGAGTTTTTTTATGTACAGGTGGAACATCTGGGCGAGGATGCCCAATGGACAACTGGAAATATAAGCTCCAAGAGGAAAGGCCTGTGTCTGTCTCGCTGACTTTTCACCATGATTTATCTCTGAACCCCAGCATGTAGTAGGTGATCAATAAACACTGATGAATGAATAAAGGATAAATGTAAGTCAGTTCAATACTGTGCGTTCTTATGATAGACTATTGTAATTGTTCTATGCTTGCTTCCCTTTATTTATAGATTCTGAGATAAATATATATCTTCCATTTCCTGGTGCCTGATATACCTTAAGCCCTCAATACATGTTTGTTGAATTAATAGGTGAATAGGTGCTCTTTTTTACATTCAAATAAGATAAAACTTACTAAATATCTTGTCAACATAAATAGATAAATATCCATACCCATAAAACTTACTTTAAAGAAAGAGTGACAGTACTAAATCATGGGTTTGTCCCATCACTTTGGAAATATAACTGTAAGTGTTTCAACATTTGGTAATTCTGTTTGACTAATAGCCTATCTGCATCGTCAGTAATTATAACTACAGAGAGCCTGAAAAAGACCTTTGGGCAATAATTTGGAAATGATTGCTTAAAGGTAAATATTTTTTAATTTATGAATGGCTGGAGTTTCCCCATACTCAGTGGTGACACATGACTCACTTTTGTCCCTAGAGCAAACTTTTAGAGCTAATAGGGGCGGCCAAATTGAAGGTCTCATAAGGTTCCTGGGATACAAATGCTTCCCAAGGTCCTCTCTCTATCCCAGCGGTGGGTGAGGGGCTTCATAAGGAATATGGTATTTCTACTTGGGGCAAACTTCTCATTTCATATTCTAGGTTAAAAGGATTTGACAATATATTAGCATTGCATATAATATATTTATATCAAAAGAGTATCTGGTCATTATGGATCATTCACTTATGTTCCCATAAGTATATTTTATAAGTAAAAATATAAAATACAAAATTTTAGTCTGTAGTCATTTTTCCCCCTTGGGCTGAGATGGCTTCATAAAAGTTAAAATTTTAAAAAGGGCAAACCTTGGAAACAACATCTGGTGTTGACTTTGGAAATTAGAACCAGATATGCTTCCTTATCCATATTTTAGTTCACATGATTAGCCTGCCAGAATGGTAAAAGAGAAAAAGTCTACTAATTTAATTTTTGTTCTGTTTTTAAAAAAGTAATAGAAATAGTTTAACACTTAAAGTAGCTATAGATCTTTTTTAAGTACACAGACCATCCCTGAATATACATAAATATCAGAATATAAATTTTGTACATAGTTAGCATTATTGTATTTCACATTCAAGGGATTCACTAAGGGTTTCCTATAAGTAACAATAGGCAAACAGTATAAAAGGCTCATAGGTTGCTTTTAAAGCTGGTTTTCCAAATAATTTATGGTACATGGGTTCCTGAGAAAAAAATTGAGAGCAAATAATCATTTGATTCAGCCATGTCACAGGCATTAGTACACATCACATTTGGATCTCATTAGTACACATCCCATGAGGTAGAATTTTTGTTATTTTTAAAACTTCAACACATATTCGCATTATGAACAGAATAAAGATACACACAGCAACTCTTGGACAGATGATTAATAGAAATATAAGTTGGTACTTATGGTGTACCAAGTACTATAGAGCCCATTTTATTTTACACTTATAAAACATTTGAAGTAAACCAAGTACATATTATTTCCATTTAACAGATGATAATATTGAAATATGCAAGCATAGTATGTGACATAGTTACTTTCATACAGCCAATAAGTACTAGAACCTGGAACTTCTGTATCTTAGATCAGAGTGTTTTCCATTCTTTGATACTATGCTTTTACATGATGAAAATCCAACAAACTGTATCCCTAAATGACTGATATTTGGTACCTAGAGTTTAATTGCACTCAATCCTAGAAAAATCTACCTAAGGGAAAAAAATAGCATAAAAAACAAACATATTAGCATTGCACTTAGAATATCTATGTGTTAAGAAATCCATTAGATCTGAAACTTTTTTTAAAATATATTTTTATTGATTTCAGAGAGGAAGGGAGAGGGAGAGAAAGAAACTTCAGTGATGAGAGAGAATTATTGATTGGCTGCCTCTTGCAAGTCCCAACTGAAGATCGAGCCTACACAGTGGGCATGTGCCCTGACTGGGAATCGAAGCATGACCTCCTTGTTCATAGGTCGACACTCAACCACTGAGCCACGCCCGCTGGGCTGAGACTTATTATTTTGACAGAATATCTTTATTAATGGATGTTTCTAATTAACTATATAAATGATTATATTTTTTATTTCTTCAGTTGTTTTACATGTAAATTTCTCCATAATCTTTTCATTTCAAGAAATTCTACAGTCATGAAAATATGGTGTTTGTTCAGTCAAGTGTAGAAAGAAAATACAATTATCTAATGTATATGCTACATAAATAAGATTTATTTTCCTTTTATTCAGGGGGGATGAGAAGACATCTTTTAAAATCTGCTCCACATCTTACAAATGAGAAAATTGAAATGGGATGGTTCCCTTTTTTAAATAGGGTTTTTCATGGTTGGACCGCCCTTTGGCTATTGTGTTAAGGTCAGTTCCAAAGTCCTATTATCAAGTTTCCCAAAATTATCTTGAGTGCTGGGACATGTTTTTATTTTCTTAATCCCTTCACAATTAATGGATGGGCAATCCTGTCCCTTAATAGAGGATTAACAACAACAATAACAGTAGATATCTCTCATATTATAATTTGTTATAGATTTTCAGTTGTGGAAAAGCCTGAGAAGGAATAAGAAAATCACACAATCATGATAATGCATATTTTCTTTTGTATAAACAATTTGGTTTACTCATCAAAACCTATGAGATAGACAGGGAAATTTGTATTCTTCCTGTGCTAAAGAAATATATAGAGAGAAGGTAAATTGCCGGGAGCCGGTCCATGCTTGCTGTTTCAAGGGACCTGGCATATATGGCATACTGTTCTTAATATGTTTGCTCACCTTCTTGGCACTATGTGTTTTAACCAAGGTCGTAAATAAGGTATACAAGGTCAGTAAATGGCAGAGTTGGATTAAGAATCCAGGCATCTCTGCTCTACTGCTCATTTACAGGGGATTCACTCTAAGAAGTTCCCTAATTCTAGCCTGGCCAGCATGGCTCAGTGGTTGAGTATTGACCTATGAACCAGGAGTCATGGTTCCATTCCCAGTCATGGTTCCATTCCCATTCCCTGCAACGTGTCCAGGTTGCAGGCTCAATCCCCAGTATGGGGTGTGCAGGAAGCAAGCTACCAATGATTCTCTCTCATCATTGATGTTTCTATCTCTCTCTCCCTCTCCCTTCCTCTGAAATCAATAAAAATGTATATTAAAAAAAAAGAAGAAGAAGTTCCCTAATTCTGAAGCCACATTCACTTTATATAACCCAATGAGACAAGTGTGGACCAGTCTGAAATTCAGGAGCTCTGGATTCCTGTCTCCACCCCATTTAGCCTGATTTAGTACTCTTGGCAACATGACACCATAGTGAAGGACATGGGTTCCAGAGGCTGTATGTCCTCCATTCCTTCATTTACTAACTCAATGAGCTTCACAAGTTACTTTCTCTAAGGCTCAGCTTTCTCATCTGTAAAATGAAGATGTAAAATCCTTGAATCCAGATGTACATGAAGCCTTTCTTTGAACTGTAGTGACTCCATTTTTAACTTTAGGTTTTTAATCTCATGATAAATAAATTGAAAATGTATTAAAATCTTTACTGAATTACATTATGAATTTTCTTGGCTAACTAGTGGTTAGAGCAACACTGTAATTATTAATGGGCTAGGAATGCTTTGCTTTGCGAAAATATTTGTCATTATTCAAAAGGGATGGGAATTAATGTCAGTTTTCAAACCTTAATCAACATAAGTTTATAAGTATTTCTAAAATCAGATGGCCCGATTTGATATTGATTCCTAGATGCCAGAGGATTCATTTTCATTTATGGGATGAATCCATTTCTTCAAATGTATCCCAATAACTGATCATAGTTAACAATGAATGCCCTGTTTTCCCCTCATCTTTCTTTAATTTTGTTTTGATCCCCCCAAAAATGTAGGATTGAAATATAGCAGTAATAAATATTAAGGTGAGAAATTCAATTTTAACTCCAATCTATTCAAACACACCCCCAAAATCTTTATACAAAAATTAAGTAGTGATATCTTCATTAGCATACTTGTGTGTATAAATTCAGAATATTTTTGTATCATTTAGCATGCTCTCATTCACAGTAATAGGAAACTCAAAATGGATTAAACATTGGGAAAATTTTTGGCTTGCATGGCTGGAAATTCAGAGGTAAGGTGAACTCCAGAGAAGGCATTATCCAATCATTCTGGTCGGGTTCATTTAGAGCTCTCAGCTCTGTCCTACTCCCTGTATAATGACCTATAGGATGGAGCAGGATGGCTTCAGAAGATACAAACCCTGCAACAATGAGTGACTACAGCCAAGAGAAGAAAAAATGGAGCTTTCATAACTCACTCTTAGAAGACAGGAAACTTGTTGAATTTCCCAGCAAATTCCCCCTCAGATGCCTTTGGTCGAAATTGGATTGGATGTCCTCTTGTGTGCAGTATTTGAGGCTGTAGAGTAGTGGAATAATGACCCACCCAAGGTTAGTTTGCTTAGCTACATAATACAAAGGTGATGGTTATCATAAAATTGGGATCCTTTAGAGAAGGAAAATGTGAAGAATGGATGCTTCTGTGTGGGCAACCATCAGTATCTTCGACCTCTTCCAATATCTACCCATTCACTTTTCTAAGAGCTATTAACTGATTCATTATGATACAGAAACACAAATATTCCTTCTGATATGCCCTTGGAAAAAAGTACAAATGTTTCAAGTATTAAATAAATTGGCTTGAGCTATGAAATTTTTATACTGCTGGCAAGCAACCATGTCACAAGGCGTGGACAAGATTAAACTTTAAGTTTAATGGCTGGGATAAGTCCAAGTATAGGGAAATAAGCTTCAGCAACTATATTTCATGCACATGTAATAGTGCATATCCCCTCTTAAAAATGTAAACCAGAAAAATGTAAACCATGCACACTAACATTAAGGAGGAAAAATGAGTTTTCTCATGAAAAGCATTCATCTTTGAGTATGGCATGCAGAAGTGGTGTGGTATTCAGATTTTGATAATGCTAGATCCCATGATCCACAGGCTACTTTTAGTCATTAAATAACTTCCTTGGGAATGAGATTTTACACACAAGAAGATTTATGTATGGCTGATAATATTTAACACAACTTTTTAAAATGTAAAGCTGAGGATTTTCAGAGCTCTAATAAAGCCAAGAGGAAAATACAGACTTTCTGGAAATGGTGTTTTGGACATTGATGACTGCATCAAAATAGAAAATTTTTTTTATTTTATTTTAAATTTTCTTTTTATTCACTAACTTATAATTATTCTTAAAGAATTTCAAATCTCTATCTTAAGGAAGCAATGGGCTTTTCTCTATAACTAATTCAAGTTTGAAAAATGATTAATTATTTATGTTGATTGATTACCTAAGTATTTATAGAATAGGTTCTATATGTCCAGAAAGAATTCTAATCCATAGTTTCTGCTTTCAAAGAATTTACAACCTATTTCAGGGCACCACCAATCCAAAAATATAAGAAACAATAAAAGATAGTATTTTATTAACCACTAAATTGCGAATCAGGGTATATTGATGTAAAAAGGACCAGATAAGGAAAACCGTATACTTTAGAGGAATTACAAAAGCCTTACCATCATAGTATCATTTATTGAATACACATCTTGTACCAGATATGTTTAATAATATGTACTTTAGTCTTTCATCAACTCTACAAAATTCATTCATTATCATCAATATTTTACAGACAGAGTAATTGACACTAAGAGATTAACTTGACAAAGTTAAAAAGTTAATATTAGGTGCCCTAGCCAGTTTGGCTCAGTAGATAGAGCGGCAGCCTGCAGACCAAAGGGTCCCGGGTTCAATTCTGGTCAACGGCATGTACCTTGATTGCAGGCTCCTCCCCAGCCCAGGCCCTGGTCAGGGCTCGTGCAGAAGGCAACCAATCGATATGTTTTTCTCACATCAATGTTTCTCTGTTTTTCCCTCCCTCTTCCACTCTCCCTAAAAATCAGTGGAAAAATATCCTTGGGTGAAGAGTGGTAACAACAAAAAAAGCAGGATTAGGAATTGAACCCATATCATCCGATCATATTTTGTGGTTGCTTAGCTATGAAGATTTTCTGCCTTCATAAAATAAGATGGACTTGGTGAGCATTCTGCAGATTTAGCAGTCTTCCTTAATAAGTTGGACAAACAAGGGTATTTTAGAAAAGAGGGCCCACAGGAGTGAAGGCCCAGTCACTGGAGTAGCCATGGTATTTTAGGGCCCTTAAAAGGAACTGTCACACTGATCCAAAGTTTGGACAAGGTGAGCAAATCCAGTGGGATTGAGTTAGAGAGATTAATAAAAGCATGAAAGAGTTCCACAGAAGAATTTCTCAGTATAAAATAACTGTTCAAACTCTTTCATCTCCTCTTTCTCATCCTCAGCCGCATCTTCAAACGCCAAAGGACTTGAAATGAATCACCAGGACCACCCAACAACTTTCAGACATTTAGATTAAACTCAAAAGCATAGAAGTGTTCCTAATAGCTAGAAGGTTAATACTTTTCAAATCCTGGGTCAGACTACCCCAGGGAGAAAGCAAGACGGGTTCTGCTGACCTGGAAATCCCACAGGCCCCAGGTGACCTCCCAGGCTGCTCCCCCACATTCCACAGGTTCTGCAGTCTGGTCTCGCCTTGTCAGTTCAAAATGGAATTCGGGCTCACAGTGTCTGAGCCGAAGCTCTCCTCCTAACTGAAATAGAAAGAGCTCCAAAACTGACATAGTGCATACATGCGTGTTTACAAATATGCAGATGATATCTGGGAGAAAACATAAAAACTGTTATTGTGATTGTGTCAGGGACAGACAGCTGGCTGGTTGGGGGGCATTCAAAGAGAGGGGACTTCTCCTTACCAAACCTCTTGTGCTTTTTCAACTTAGAAGAACATACATGTATTATAGCACATTCAAAAATATGTATATTGCGAGTGAGTTAACTTTCCAGTGGTCTTTTTTGCTTGTCCTTTTACCATGCATGCATTCAAAGCATAAGTGCCAGATTAATTTCCCCAAAAGCAGAGTTCCCATGACATCCTTCCCCTCGTCCAAATCCTTCAGCGCTTGCCCATCACTAACAATAACTAACTTACAAGGTTCACAAGAATTGATTTACTGATATAATTTATGTTTCACACCACATTTCCAAGTGGGTTATGCCTCATATGACAAGTAATGGAAATGGCATGTAATGAATTTTAAAGATTTGCTCAGGGTTACACAGCTGCCTCTCTCAAGCAGCTTATTGAGTTAAGTCAAAACTCTTTGGCCTACCATTGATTGCTAACCTCCCATGGAAGTGTTCTCATGTAAATCCCCAACGCCTCTCTTCTGCTTCAGGTAAGTTATTAAAACACTGGTTCCTCAAATCCCTCTCACTTTACCATCACTGTGCCTTTTCTCAGGTTCTTCCTTCCCCCTTAGAAAGTCTCCACACTTCACCTGTCACTCATGACAATCTCCCACAAACGCACCTTGCCCTGACTCCCCCAGGGTTTTAATATTTCCCTTCCCAGTACTTCATTTGTATCACTCAACACTCCATGTTAGTTGTAATTATAGTTGTATTGGTGTTTGTATTAACCTGACTATAAAACTGCAAACTTTGAGAACAAAGATCATTGTTTTTCATGTTCATATTTTTCAAATACCCTAGCAAACTACTTTTCGCTTATTAGAGGCTCAAAAATATTTGTTGAATTTAGTTTAAGAATTGACTTTCTGGGACACCAGAGATGCTTTGTAAGATGAAGTGAAGTTTGGAGAGAATCCAGAAACACATTTGACAACAGATATCACAAACCGATCGCTGTAACACTCTCTGAAAGACAGTTGTATTTCTTTAGACAGCACAGGGTTTGTTTTTGGGGGGGGTTTTGTTTTTTAATTTGATTTTTTTTTTTTTTTTTTTTTATTTTTTTTTTTTGCCAGCATTTAAAATCAAAAGACCTCATGTAAACATTTGAATTTCTAGCTTTTCTTGAAAATGGGGAAATGGACTAGCCTTGGTAATACCTGCCTGTTTTCAGTAAGGTACAGCCTGTCTGGTGTGCCATAGCCCACCATTCACAGTTGCCTTACATTGGGCTGATTATGTGATACCTGTTGGTGCTGAATGTTTACATTTATAATTCCTCCTAGAAATATAGATCCTTGTTTCTTCATCAAAAAGTCCCTAAGACTTGTGACCTCTTACCAGTGCTTCATACCTATTTCAATGGCCTGATGAAAACAACTCGCTCAACAATTTTTGAAAAAATACCCACCCTCTTCATGTAGGAAACCCTCAAGCAGAATTTAAGTCGGTGTTACATTCAGGCATTTTAATGAAAATACAGGGAAATTCTATACACCGAGAGAAAGCTGTCATTTAAACCACAGGGTGTCACCTTGAGACATTGCCAGTGAAACTACCCACTAGTGTTCTAGTGCCTCACCAGCACGGGAGTAGGGATGGGGGCGCAGAATACAATGCCGGTGACAGAATTCCTAGCTACAAGGGATCTAAAGAAGGGCAATCCAACACTTGCTTTATTTCTGTGATATTCCTATCAAGTTGATTTCTAAAATCTCCAACTCTCCTGTGAGGGCAAGTCCATTTCATCTTTCACAGCTTGTATTGCAAAAAAGTATTCTTTCTTTGTGTGTAGGGGAAAGATGATTTACTGTAAATTTACTGCATTGGTCCTTCATTTTCCCTCTGTAGTAACAAAAATCACATGTCACAGCCTTTTTAATATTTAAAGACTATGATCACATGACTTCAAAGTCTTCCATTTTCTTCAGGTGAAACACCTATGATTTCTGGTTAGTAGAATCCTCATTCCCTGGGTAGGTCATTGCCTGGTACATTATATCCCATCAAAATTCTTGGCACCCCAAACTAAACATAGCATTACAGGTATTGTTTGGTCCAACAGACTATAACAGAGCTATGCTGACTCACTTCATTACTGTAACTCTAATTAGTTGTTTTGGCAGCTACAAATCTCTGTTGACACATTATGATTGCAGTCGACTGGAACCCCCAAGTTCTGCTACAGCTCATCTTCGCCAGCGTGAGCTTCCACAGTTGGGCTTCATATTTATCCCTGTTAAATCTCAGTGTTTATATTGGCTCATTACTTCAACCTGCCAAAGTATTTTGGGATTTTATTCTAGAACTCTCCCTTCTTGATTTCTGTCCCTGTAAATTTGATGTGTATGTACTAATAGTTAATCTTTTCTCCAGGGGACTAGAAAACAAACAGAATAAGAAAGGATCTTGCTTCATATTCTCCCTCCTGGTTTTCAGATTAAAGCTGGTCCCTCAATATTTTTTGAGAGTGTCATTTATCTGTCACTGATCCACCCAACTCTACTGTTAGTTTTCTCACCTTGTTTTCAAGAATACTGTGAAAAACTTGATGGATTCCTCACATGCACAGGAGAAGAGCCGTGCCAAAGAGAAGCCATAAAGTGCTTCTTTTGAGTGGAAAAGTATGAATGTATGCATGTATCAGGAAAAAAACATAGCATATATATATAGATTTCCATGCTATCCACGGTTTCACATATCCCTTGTAGACAAGGGGCCTCCTGTATCTCAATATCTATATTTTCTCTATTTCAATACTTAATCCATATTTTATCTCTTTGTACCTATATCTACATACAATACATGTCTTTGTATGCTTTGTAATCGCAGATGTGCATTTTCCATTGGATTTTCAGAAAGTTTTCTGACATAAAAAAGATTAAGAACCATTAACTTAGTAAATTCCCTTGAGCTACAACATATAAAAATAATTCTATTTTTAAAATCTCTAAAGATCCTTACTTATAACATGCCTACTACATGCTAGAAATGCTCTAGATATTGAGCATTGATATGAACAAAATACACCAAGCCTCTGCCCTCATCTAGTTTACATTCTAGTGAGAGAGAACAGTAGACCACAATGACCAAGATTAATAAGAAAGTGATAGTATGTTTAATAGTGATAAATGCTAAAGCAGAGAAAAGGGATGTGAAGTGTCTGGCTCACTGAGAAGATGACATTTGTATAAAGACCTACAAGAACTAAGGTGACTTGGGGGAAGAAGGTCCCAGGTAGAGATAACAGCAAATGCAAACTCTTAGTCTCCCCAGTGAGTAGCAAGGCTGTGACAGAATAAGCCGAGGGGAAATAGGTAGAGATGAGTTAGGAGTGTTGACAGGGAAGCCAAAATGGTTCTCGGATGTGGAGAGCAGGGAGGTACCCCTCAGAGTGCATTTGGAAATCTGGGGATTTTTTTTGGTTGTGACTCTGGAACGCTACTGTCACTTAGAGGAGCCAAAATGTCTGAAATGAACTGGATTGTTGCAGCCCAGTAGGCGGGGGATGTTGTACTTCTTTGTACTGGGCCTTGCAAATGAGCAATAAAATGCACATTAGCACTCAGTACGAGATGCAGACCTTTAAAAATAGATTCATTTAGATGCCTGCCTTTCAAACTTATTGATGTCAAAAATCATGCAACCTGCAGGACATTTTGTGCAATGGAGAAAGGCTTTGCCCAAAATGCAATCATTCCCATTTAGAGACCCCGGGTAACTAAACTCTGGATTTTACTCTAAATTAGATGGAAGTCATTAGAAACCTCACTGCAGAAGAGTGAATGGTCTCACTTCTATTTATTAAGGCTCCGCCCAGCCATTATTTTGGAGGTGAAGGAGACCAAGGCAGAAGCAGAGACCAGGTAAGAGGTTGTCATAACACCACGATAGTTGATCTAATAATCGAAATGGTTATTCAGTGACTAACGGCGGGGAAAGTACGTACAGTGTGGATACACTGGACAAAGAGCTGGTTCCGTCCTAGTCCTGGACGGGACAGAGCAGGAAGGCTTGAGATTTCATCACCCTACCCAGAATGGCTTGCGATCTAAAACTTATGAATTGTTTGGTTTCTGGAATTTTCCATTTAATCTTTCCTGGTCTCGGTTGACTGTGATAATTGAAACTGCAGAAAGCAAACTGTAGAGGAGGAGTGAGAGGGGAACTATGGTACAGAAATGAAGAGAAAAATGTAAAAGAGACCAAAAATGTTAACATCAGTTTTCTTTAGTTTTTCACTTCATTGGTGATTTTTCTCACATATTTCCTAAACTATTCACAACAAACATGTCTTAATTTTGTAAAAATGTAACACTCTGGACTATCTACAACTCTACTTCATAAATCTCACTTATGACAGAGTTCTGACTCGACCTTTCTTCTTGCTCTTTTTTCTATTCCTCTCTCTCCAGTGCTTACTCATCAGCTAGCATCAAATGCCGCCTACAGATGCCACTTTCAGGGATTTGAAATCTCAGCCTTACTCTACTGTGGTCATTATACCCATGCAATACATTTCCAGACCCCCAGGATTTTCCTTCTAAGGAAAAATGGTAGAATTGTTAGCAGCTGGATCCTCTTTGAAAGAGCAGGCCACACAGATTTACTAAAGCTTTGGGGGGTTTGTAGGAGGAATGGAAAAATTGTCACTCAGGTCCCCTTTCCTGGCAGCGCCTCAAAAGTTACCAAGTGAGAACAGCAGTGCCCAGCTGCCCTGAAAAGCCAATGAGAGAGAGTGAAATTTAAAACTTGAATTGCTCCTCTCTTCTCATTATGTATTATTTGTCAATCACGGGTAAAAAGTGCTTTTTGCCCTCCAGCTGCTAGCCCCAGGGTGCATATATCTATCACTCGGTGATGCACTTTCCTGTGGAACAGTGCAGGAAAAATCAATGATTTCACCTTTCTTTCAAGGATAGGTCAGCTTTTTTCTCATTTCTTTTTCTTTTTTTATTTTCTTTTTAACCTAATAGTTTAAACTAAGAAGGCAAGTCACTTGCGGGGGGAGGGGGGGAGGGAACAGAACATAACCTTGTTTTTTATGGTGAGAGACATCTTAGATATTAAAATAATGTATATTAGAACACATGCAAGGAACCTTTCTCCTCTTTCCTTTTGGAGCCAAAATGTCTGAAATGAACTGGATTGTTGCAGCCCAGTAGGCGGGGGATGTTGTACTTCTTTGTACTAGGCCTTGCAAATGAGCAATAAAATGCACATTAGCACTCAGTACGAGATGCAGACCTTTAAAAATAGATTCGTTTAGATGCCTGCCTTTCAAACTTATTTTACTACATCGAAACATATTGCCCTCATTTGTACATTTTATTCGTGTGACATAGGAAGTGTTTTTTAAAATTATTTTTAGCACCATTTTAGGACCTAAGTAACTTTTTATGGTTTTTATGGAAGGGAAGTGAAGACACGAAGCTCAGATATGTTTTCAATTGATGTAATGGATACACACTAAGTCACACTACACATGACTTTCTGTCTAATGTTCCTAAACAAAGCACCAAAACACTGTGATTCAAGCACATGAGAACAGAAAACTCTTGAGCTTCTCTTCGTCTCTAAAATTTGCATCTTCGGCTTTTATAAGGAGAAAAGGCCCACTAAAGGACATGCTGACTTTTATTGTAAGATTGTTTAATCAGGAAATTTCCCTAAAAGCATAAGGAATTGTGGCATTTGTTCTTGTGAATGTTAAATAGCACTCGCAAAACATTTCTAAGCTGTGATGAAATGTATGCACTTTTGACAGTGAATCAAAATGCGAACATTATTGATAACCTGCGATGATGCTGTTGAAGTAAGATAAAGCAATATTTTCTCTGCCTCATTCTTTTTTTACATACTAGTAATTCTAGAAACAGAAGTTGATGCCAACTGAAAAAAATCCAATAATGGAAGCCCCAGTGAGTCAAGCTTGCACATTCATACTCTAAATGGAAACGTGAGGTGATCACGTCTGTCATAAATTTTACAGAACATAGGTTTGGGCAGTGAGGACAGTCCAATCACTTGGGCCCACTTATTTCTTCAAGTTTCTTATTTTCTGTGGGCAGGATAGGCACCCAGCAGTAAGCCCAGGATCAAATGGAAATAAAACCACTGAGAGAGACCCGGTGCAAGGCACTAAACTGGCCAGGCTTCCGGCACTTCATATGGTTTCCATCTGAAGCTACAGAGGACTGGGGCACGTCTTTCCATACCTATGAGTGTATGTCTGCAGGCTGCCCCCTCGGCTGGTTCTGATTTACACCTAACTCCCTCCAGGCTCCCTAGAAGTGAACTTTGGTGAACTTCATGCAAGTTCAATGTTCATAATCAAATCTGAAATTCCAGAGGTTGTGTCTGGGATTCAATTTCAAAATGAGGACGTGTCTTTTCAAGTTACGTGTTTCCAACTATTGTTGATTATTGGGCCCCGGCATCTATTATGTTTAATGTGGTGCATTCCTGAATAACTAGATACTGTAAGAGAATAAAAACTGAGAGGACCAGCACCATGGGTGGGTGGTTGTAGAACACCCTAACTTTCAAAGTGTGTCTCATAAAGAAGCTTCCAAATAGTTGAGTATTCTGTGGTGGTCCTTGGCAACAACTTCTCTTTTTCTCTTTATACCTCTTCACCCTCCCCAACCCACTCAACAAAACTGAAATGAGAAGTCAGCCAAACCGAATGCTTGCTCTTGCTCCATTGCTTCTGTCCTTTACCTGAGACATCTTTTTCCTTTTGCCATATGCTAGCAACCTCTCTAATTATAAGGCCCTGCTTACACCCTCTTTACTCATGGAGCCTTTCCTGATCCTGTCAAAAGGAAATATTCTCTCTGAACTTTCATAACTCTTAAGAAGTGGCATCATCATCATGATGTATATACATATATTATCCCCATGAGACACTTGACAGTAGGACTAATTCATCTTTCTATCACTCACTTGTTGGAAAGATGATAAAGTCATTCAAATGATACTTGTTGAAAGAATGATAAATGAAGAAATGGGTGTATATTAATTGTATTCAAACATAAAGTGACAGGAGGACATGAACATAGCCTATAAGTACCATAACAGAAGGCTGCAGTGAGTTAGCATATTTTAAAAAGTAAGGCACTTTCAGGTGCATTACTACTCTTGTGTACTGTTGAGCTAATGCCAACCTTGCTTCCACTGTGAGCCTCGGACGGATAAGCACTTCATTGTTCTCATCCACCGCTACATCCCCAGCCCCAGCCCCATCCCCTCAGCACAATAATTGGCCTATAACAGACACTCAATAAATGTGTTTTGAATGAATAATGTATTGAATTTTAAAAAAACAAGGACTCTTTATACAATGTAAACCTTTTGGCTAAAAGTGGAAATCTTAGAGACATCAGAAGATAAAACAAAACCTAAAGCATCTTAAGGCAAATCACTGAAATGGTCTCCCAGTTTCTACCTGTCTGACTTTGTCTGGGCCTCCTGGATCTTTGAGTTCTTTTCCTGTACAATGTCAAGTTGATGAGACAGCCACAAGTGATAATCTGTGTAAACTCAGCTGCTCTCTTATTAGCCCAGAGCAGCTTATAAAAATGAATACTGGGAGAGAAGCAAAGATGGCAGAATAGGAAAAAAACAGAAATTGCTGCTTCCCACAACAACTTCAAAAATACAACGAAAAGACAAAATGGACATCATCCAGAACTACAGGAAGGCTGGCTGAGTGGAAATTCTACAACTAGAAGGAAAAAGAAAAGCACACTGAGACTCAGAGGAGGTGCGGAAGTAAAGTGCAGAGGTACGGAGGCTCGAGAGCGCGCGGAAAGGGGCTGGCAGCTGAGGACGCGGCTGTCTGTTTGAATCCGGAGAGAGTCACAAGCTCCCAACTGCTCTGAACTCTGGTTCCGGGAAGTCTCTGGGGACCCAGGACTCACACGGAAAGAAACTGGACTGTCTGGCAGCAGGCAGAACTCGGAACCTGAGGGCGGCTTTCCCTCAGAGGTGCTTGCAGCAATTACCGGGACACTGAGACACGTGGCCCCTTAGGGCAGTGCTGAGGATCCGCCATAGCTGCTTGCTCCGCCCTTTGATTCCCTGAGACCCCGCCCCACCCAGGCTGTGGCAGAGGCTTTTGCATATGAATGCCCTGGCCCTTTGCAACCTGAAAATTACCTAACAAATTGCAGCTGGGCCAGACAGACCCAGAACTTCCAAGAGAAGGCACAAGGCCCCACATCAGCTTGCATTGCTTCACAGCTGGGCCTCATCTGGGCACCTCCAAACTCCAAAAAAGGAAGGGGAATCTGCAGTTCTCTTCTTAGCTCCTGCTGGGTAACCTCAGACAGAGGCTAAATTAGCACCTCCTTAGATCCAAGAGCCAGTGTGCCCAGTGGTCAGAAGGGGACCATCCAGATTACAACTCCTCAGATCCATAAGGGACACGCTCAGGGGGCAGACTCAGTGAGCACCAAAGCCCCACTGAAGCAAGTCTTGCCCCAGAAGGGTGTCTTCAGCACAGAAGTTCTCCCACTGCAGACACAGCTGATTCTCACTGCCAATTGCCTAGAGGGCAATTCCTCCCAGTGATCCTAGAACAATCAAGGCATAACTACAACAAGACTGTGCACAAAGCCCACAAGGGGGTGCACCAAGAGTGTCCACCTCAGGTAACTGGGGAGGCTGAGCCACTGGGCCCTATAGGACACCTAGCACACAAAGCCACTCTACCAACAAGGAAGCATAAAAAATGCGGAGACAAAGAAACAGGTCACAAATGACAGAAATGGAGGAAAGCAAGTGACTGGATATAGAGTTCAAGGCCACGTCTATAAGGTTTTTCAAGAATTTTATGGAAACTGCTGATAAATTTAGTGAGACCCTGGAGGATATGAAAAAAGACCAACTAGAAATTAAGCATACACTGACTGAAATAAAGAATAATATACAGAGATCCAACAGCAGACAAGAGGATCCCAAGAATCAAGTCAAAGATTTGAAATACGAAGAAACAAAAAATACCCAACCAAAAAAGAAAAAAGAAAAAAGAATCCAAAAATATGAAGATAGTGTAAGGAGCCTCTGGGACAACTTCAAGCGTACCAACATCAGAATTATAGGGGTACCAGAAGAAGAGAGAGGGCAAGATATTGAAAACCTATTTGAAGAAATAATGACAGAAAACTTCCCCTACCTGGTGAAAGAAATAGACTTACAAGTCCAGGAAGCGCAGAGAACCCCAAACAAAAGGAATCCAAAGAGGACCACACCAAGACACATCATAATTAAAATGCCAAGAGCAAAAGACAAAGAGAGAATCTTAAAAGCAGCAAGAGAAAGACAGTCAGTTACCTACAAGGGAGTACCCATACGACTGTCAGCTGATTTCTCAACAGAAACCATGCAGGCCAGAAGAGAGTGGCAAGAAATATTCAAAGTGATGAACAGCAAGAACCTACAACCAAGATTACTTTATCCAGCAAAGCTATCATTCAGAATTGAAGGTCAGATAAAGAGCTTCACAGATAAGAAAAAGCTAAAGGAGTTCATCACCACCAAACCAGCATTATATGAAATGCTGAAAGTTATTCTTTAAGAAGAGGAAGAAGAAAAAGGAACTCTTACCATTTACCACAGCATGGATGGAACTGGAGAGCATTATGCTAAGTGAAGGATAAACACCACATGATCTCACTCATTTGTGGAATATAATGAACAATATAAACTGATGAACAAGGACTGATCCAGAGACGGAGAGGCATTGATTGGACTGGCAGGCCTTGGAGGGAAGGTAGGGGGGGGTGGAGGTAAGGGGGAAAGAGCAACCAAAGGGCTTATATGCAAGCATATAGGCCTAACCAATGGACACGGACAACAGGGGGGTAGGGCATGAGGGGGGGGTTAGGGGATAACGTGGGGATAAGGACACATATGTAATATCTTAATCAATAAAAAATATATATATAAAAAATAAATAAATAAAGTAG